AAAAAACAAAAAAACAAAACAAAACCAAAACAAACAAACAAACATAGTGAAAAGAACAAAAGCTTTTTTTGCCAAAGAGATCTGGATTGAAATCCTAGGTAAGATCCCAAACCAGAGGTAAGAACTTAGGCTGACCATTAAGTATCTGAACCTCAGTTTCCTTAGCTATAAAATAAATATTACTAACCGATGGGTTGTCATGAGGATTAATGATATACAAACATTCATACAATAGCAATAGTAATGGAGTAGCTAAACTTTACACAGTGTCAGAGCTTTGGACAAGCTGGCATGAACTTCAAAATAGTTGACATCTTAAAACACCATTGACAGCTTGGATACAGAAAAGAAAGAGATTTTCAAATCCTACCTGGGAGCGATATCCAAGGGGTTTATAAGTGGTCCGACTATACAGAAGACCGCTGTTGCACTAGCGAGTATCAGGAAAATTATTGTGCTGTGGAAACCGGAACTCAGGTGGCACAGGCATATACCAAAGAGGGCAGGCAGGAGAAGGCCTGGGGAGGGGTTCAGACAACACAGTCAGGAGTGGCCTGAACGTGGGGGGAAGCACCTCAGAGTGCTCCAACGTCCCGGCTGTTTCTTACCCAGCGTGGTGAAGAGTTTCCGGATGGTAATCACACGGAGTGCAGTCCTGGACAGGAAGAGGTCTGCCATGTGACCCGCTAAGATACTAAGGAGCCAGGAGAACAGATAGGGGAGGGCTGACAGCACCCCATTCTGAGGAGGAAAGGTTATCGTGACAGTGAGCATGGTACACAGAGTAATCCCTATGCTGAAATTCAGCACCTAAAATTTGAACTGTCATACAGGAAGCCATCAACATATAACCTCCAAATGACTGCCAGGCACACACTACACAAAAGAAGAAGAAAAAGTAGGTTTGGGATCAGAAACAGTTGTCACAATCTATGTAGTTTTCTGAATGGGAAAACCTGGCTCTGGGGACATGATAGAGATGATAATGGTAATAATTACAATCCTTCCTATGGTGCTTTCTCGGGACCAGCCTGTTTATCCTTGCAACAACCCCATGGTCTCATGGGAGATAAACTTGGGTCCAAGAAAGCTTAAATGACCTCACTGTCATCCTGGCCCCTGGGCTCCATTCCTGGAGGCTCATTACAGAATGCTCCAAAGTGGCAAGCCCAGACTCCATTGCTAAAGAACTGTTTTTCCTGGTTATTATGGCCTCAGACAACAGAAGGTTCCAGGCATCAGTGATTCTCTGAGTCAGACAAGCAGTGGGAGTGCCAGTCCTTTCCTGGGGTTCACACCCCAGGACTCATTTCCTTTCCCCGGGTAAGGATTGGTGCGAGCCGGGTAGGGTGACAGGGCTCAGCTAAGTGACTTTCAGGGAAAGATCCTGATCCCTTTAGGCAATGATGGTGTTGAGCCTTAAGTAATACCCAAGGGCGACGGTACAGCGACTGTGAGGCAGGGTCTGTGGGAACGGGAAGGGTGTGTGTGTGTGTGCGCATTGTGGGGGTGCCAGTCTACGCCTTTCGTTCTAGGCAACCAATGCTGACATGAAAGTTGGAAACGGAGCCTCCAGGTGAAGAGCTTCAGCGACACAGCGTGGGGTGGGAAAGCTACAACTGGAGTCACGAGGCCCAGAGAAAGGAGCGACCTCTCATAAAGCCAGAAGGAGAATAGAAGGTAGCCTACCTCTGTCACATTCACATGAAGCTTGGAGCTGATGAACGTTGGCGAGTACAAAAACAGGATATGGTTTGTCCAGGAAAAGGCAAAACAACCAAGGGAAGTCGCCCAGACTGGAAGGGACTTGAATATGGCCTTGATGGGCAGAGGCTGTCCACTCGAGCTGACCTAGGAAGGAACCCATCAGTCGTTAGCACCTGAGGACCGGCCAGAGCATGTGTCATTCGCACGGGACCTGGGAGATCCCAAAGTGATATGTGTGCATTTCACCTGGTCCATGAGGGAGGAGGTAATAAATTCCTTCTCATCGATGCTTATGCATGGATGGTCCTTTGGATCATCATAAAATAGAACGAACCACAGAAGACCCAGGGCACAGCCACAAGCACCTATAAAGAAGCAGACGTTAGCGTCGGAGCTGCTTCTGTCTGTAGGGAGTCTCTCCCCAGTGGGCACTTTTCATGATCGATACGAAGACCTGGGCCACCTCTTCCTCTTTAGAAACTCTGCAGCAAGGCTCACATTTCTGACAGTCCTCTCTGTATGCACAGCTGCCTCTCCCTACAGAAAGAAGTTTACAGAAAAGGCGGTGAGTCCTCTGGCCTGTTCTGCTGGCCCACTGAGCCGCTGCATCCTTCTGCTCACGACAACTGGCCTCCCCCCTAGGCCCGCATCGCCACAGGCTTCCTGTGTTCTTCCATGAGAGGAGAGCACAGCTGGGCCCCCATGAGGCTTGACCATCACCCGGCTCTGAGGGCTGGGCCTTTGCCAAGCTCCATTATTTTTTGTTTTTGAGTTTCTCATCTCAACGACCGGATCACAGGGAATCCTCTGTTAGCACAGGGCGTATGTAGCGTTCACCAGTCGGTCTTCCAGAAATGTGTTCATTCATTTGCCAAATGCTGATTAATTGTCCATTAGGTACCACGCACGATTCTAGGTGCTGGGGAGACAGCAGCGAACAACACACAGAGAAAGCCCTGAAATCCCTGCCTTCATAGGATTTACTTTCTAGCGGATGAGAAAGACAGATAATAAAAAGTACATAAGTAAAATGTGTTAAGTGCCAGTGATGAGCTATGGAGAGAAGTGATGGGCGGGGGAGGTAAGGGGTGCCATGCTCAGGGGAAGCTGGGACATGGGTGTGGGTCACACACACACCCCCCGCCTCTCACTGCAGAGAGAGCAGGAGGTACCAAGACCCCGGTGTGACTGGGGAGGCAGCCAGGGGAGGGTAGGATGGGTGAGGGTGACAGGTAATGGGATCAGACCATGGGGAAAGCTGGTGCCATCGTACCATCTTAGATTTTCACAACATTAAAAGGCTATTTTGACAATATACAATTTCCACCTCATTCTGTGACCTGAGAACCCCATCCCAAGGCAAATGTAAATGGGCAGAAGTGAGTACCTTATAAACACATACGTTTCTATGGGGCACTTCATTTAGAAAGTTCAGATGATGCCCTTCAGCTCTTAAAATGAGAAAACTGATGCTCAGAAAGGCTGACTTACCTGCCCAGAGGCACCTGGTTCTGTTCACACTCAGCAAAAATCATACTGTCTGGGGCAGAAAATGGCCCCAGGGGGAGCCTGGGGCAAAGCTTTGAAGAAAGGCCAGAAGGAATGACCAGAAGAGAGAGAGGAGAGAAGGCAAGGGCTGAGCACGGAGGTTCCATCGGGTCTCAGAGGCAGGGAACCAGGGGACACGGTGATGTCGTCGAGATGGAGAGCAGGTCACACGTGGATCTCAGAACTGCCACTCAGCTGACGGGCTTGGAGGCAGGGCCAGTTCTGAGACTGTGTGGCCTGGGGCAAGACCGTGGGTGGAAACTCACCCAAACATGGAAACGTCACACACTGAGCCGTTCACCTGCAAACCCTGATCCTTTATGGCTTTTATTTATTCCAATTTGTGGGAAGTTCATGGCTCACTACATCAGAAGCGAACGGGTTTGATTATGAGACCATGTTCCTCACTGGATGTGTTAAGTGTGAGTAGGACACTTGTCACATTACCTTTGATTTGTTCTGATCACCTTCCCCCAAGAGTTTCATAGAAGAGGTGAGGGTCTATAGCGCCTGCCTGACAGTTATGTACAAGTCTCGTTCTGAGCTCATGCTCATGACAATAACATGCGGAAGGGGCATGGGAGCTATTTTTGCAGAAGGCGCTAAGAGGTTGGGTTTCAAGCCTGCCGCCTGCGTGCTCCAGGACACAGAACTCGGGCAGATGTTAATCAGTGACATGGAACAGACCATCCAAAGGCTACTGAGCAAAGAGAGCCCATTATGGCCACCCCTGTAGTTACGCCCACTGCAAACAAGATGCAGGTCGTGCCTCACAAAAGTTAAAGACAAACCTGCCCCTATTCCTGCATCTTACAGAAGTTAAAGATAAACTTACCATCGCTGTTCTGTTCTCCTTTTCCCCAAACCGACAGGTTTTACATGAAAACTAAAGACACAGATAAACCCTAGTCCAAGGGATAGAAGGGCTCTCTCTTCCACTAGAATTATAGAGGGTGACCCCGTCTATGGGTGGCCTTTGTTTTCTTACTTACTCTCTGCTAAATAAACTTGATTTCACTTTAAACTTTAGACCAGCTCATGTTTGAATTCTTTCCTAATTGAAGCCAAGAACCTTCTCAGCCCGGGTGGCCTGAGTCCCCACCGGCATCAGCAGGAAATCAATAATGACTTCTTTTTCCTTCATGTTTTCAATATGTCGTAATTTTTAATCTCATCAACTTCATATATGTTATTATGTTCTGTTTTTAATTTTGTTTCTTAAATTCTGAATAATGACTGGGATTTCATGGAAACTCACCAAAAATATAGAAGACGAAGGGCCAGCCCAGGGCCTGACAGATGAATCCAGTGGCAATCAGGGCAATGAAGGGTCCCAGCATAAGTCCTAGTCAGAGGGACAGAGAACCCCCGCATGAATGTGGGTGCCTCAGAGGAGAGGTGCCACGTCTCATGGTGGCAAACACCCATCGCTAGTGAAATAATCTGTGCAGCACAGCGCTGGCCAGAAGGAAAGGGTCAAGTGTGTGCTTCTTTGTGTTTTTGGAGGTAAGCAGGCTCTTCTCTATTCTGGATGGTTCCCACACCTTTAGAGTGAGTGTTCTGGAGCAGGTGGGTTCTAAAGCCTTGACAGTACAAAACACATGTTGCTTACGGCTCTGGGGACACGATGGTGCAGGAGCTGCCAGTGGGCCTGAAGCCATTACCTGATGCGCTCAGAGAGGTAAGTCGGCCTCGTTCCAAGGGAGGGGCCCACTTGACCCAGACCACGTGCTGAGCTATGGACACTGTCCCCTGAAATGAGAAGAGTTGGGACATCGGTTCTCTGGGCTCTCCAGGAACTAAGACGCTGCTCGGTCTGGGCCCTGTCCTGATACCTGGCTCAGCCCCTGCGCTACCCGGCAGGCGATGAGTGGCATTTCTCCGGCATCCGCTGCCAGGGGGATGAGCAGGCTGGACAGGGAGCTGAGGACCAGGGCACAGCTAACCATTTTCCGGATGGAGTATATTCCAGACAAATACCCAATGGGGATATTCATGATGAGCATACCGTAGGTGATGGAACTTAAGATGACCCCCTGGATTTCGGGGCTCCAGTTATACCTGGGGTTCTGAAAGGAAAGAGGACACACACCAGTCAGTCTGCAAACTCAGAGACGTGGGGAAACTGGCCTCTCAAGTCACCCCATGGAAAGTGTCCCCTCTCTTCCTAACGTTCTCCGTCATGGGAACTTCTTTCTTCCTTCACACTGTCATTTTCTGTGTGTGATTCCATTTTACTGTAATTACATTGGTGTCTTCAACTATAATGTAATGCAACGTGTAAATATACTGCACGTTCAAAAACTTAAATAGAAAAGAGGCTACATCTTGACTTTGACCTCTGGTTTAAAAAGCTTTCCTGCTCGTCCAATCTTCTCAATTCTAAAGAGGTGCTAACTATTAGTTTTTATTCTTCTTCACATAGAAGAATTCACACATCAAAGCCCTTCACAAATATTGAGGCATCCTTTAATTATGGGACATACTTACTTAGGTTACCACTGGCAAGGATGAGCAAGACTTGAGCTTTTTCTCTAATTATTATTGTCATATCAGTTATGATAATGTTCAATCTCTACACCAATTAGTTAGCAAGACAGGATTTTGAATTTATGGCCGTGGATAATATTTTTGGTCTACCTTTATGTTATCCAGGAGGTCCTTTGTGGAGGTGTTGGGCCGATGGTGTGGATCTGTGCTGTTCACCATGGCTACCATTGTGAGGCTCAGACACATGCGCTGTGACATCATTACAACATTACAGAAGTGCAGGAGGAGGCATAACCCATAGCGAAGAGAACAAAAACCTGGAGCTGGTGAGGGAAACAGAAAGTGTCTGCTGTTAACACAGCTGAGGTAAGACATACTTTTAACTCTAGGAAGGGCCACTCGGAAGTTTGGAGCCCTAGATGTTAATTTGAAATTGTATCATGCTTAATGGCCTTTGAGAATTTATGATACAATAGGAAGATGTGTAACTGATAGGACAATCCTACACTCCTCTAAAATATAATCCCAACTAGAATGTCCCAGAAAATTAAGCCAGTCCTCCAAGTACTTTGGCGCATGCGTATTTTAAAGGGATCATTTAAACATACCCTGGGTTACTCTTGTAAGTAACAACAGACTTTCACCCAAGTAAATGGCTTTATTCTCCAAACTCATTTGGTCTGGTTGAGAAAGTTATATATGCACATGGCAGAGAAAGTGGTATTTACAAAATTCATTGTACATGAGGTACAATAGCTTTCAGGTAGAGTAACCAGTGTAGTGTTGGTGCAGGGACAAATGAATTCCATCAGGAGAAGAAAGTAGGGAGTCCAGAAACAGATGTACACATGTGCCTTTGAATAAACGTACTAATGCAATTCAGTGGAGGAAGGTAAAGTCTTTTCAACAAATGGCAATTTCCCAAGAGAAATAAAAACATATGTCTACAAAAAGAGTTGTAGCACAATGTTTATAGCAGCTTTTTTCAAAATAGTTGACCATTTGGGATGGAAGAACTTACTGTGGTATATTAATACAATGGATATTAGTCAGAAATAAAGAAGAGGGAAACACTGATACACTCAACCATCTGGATGAATCTCAACAAAAATTACTTCTAAATAAGTCGAGTTAAAAAGGAAATCATGAGGGGGATTCTAAAGTGCTTCTGACTGAGTGACAGATGTTGTGCCAAACTCATGGAAAATTAGAGCAAAGTGTACACCCCTAAATATATTTATCAGGAAAGAGGAGAGCTCGAACACTAGGAAAATTAATACAGGAACAAACCCAAAGGACCTAAAAGGAAGAAAATGTTAAGCATAAGGGCAGAAATCAATGATATAGACCAATGTATAATTTTATATGTTTATGTTTTATATGTTCATATAGAAATTTGAACCTAGATGAAGTGGACAATACAAAAATATCAAATTGATATAAGAAGAAACAGAAAATTTAATAGACCACTAACCTTTCTATAAATTGAAAAGGTATACAATCCATTGCCCCCCATGACATAGACATAACTCTAAGCCAATAGAAGAAATTCTTTACTGTTCTTCCCCTGTCTTGCTCAAGATAACAGCTTGTCTAAGTAAAAGTTCAGTGAATATTCAACGGCTGCTGTCCAAGGATGCAGTGACTCCAGAACTTTCTTCCGGCCTCACTTCCAGGAGGGTCTGTTGTCTCCTTCTGGAGATGGAACACGTACAGCGCCCCTCTGTGATCTTCTCCAGCAAGTGAAGAGTGGACAAGAATCAAAACAAAGTGTGAGCAGCCGGAGTTCATGAACTCATTTTTATTTAAGGGTTTTCTAATGGACACCATGGCAGGATTGGTTTCTTCACTTCCTTTCCTGAACATTTTCAAGACCCTTTATATATTTTTATGGAAGAACCCTTTCACCTGGAATCTTTGGTGTCATATTTGAGAAAAAGAAGCCTATGAGAGAAGACAGAGAATGATTTCTACCTTTCCTGGAAGGGAGCTGGTCATCCATTTGCACACCGATGTCCGCTTGCTTCCCTTCCGACTGAAGGGTCCTTTCTCCAGCCCCTGCAAGTGCCAAACACACGACATCAGCATAAGGCGGGAGGAACAGCCCGGCCCCCCAGCATCTGCTCCGATGTCAAACGTGCACCAAAGGAAACTTGCTTGTCACTCACGCCAGTGCCCATGCCACTTCACCACACGCTTCCTTTGACATTTAAATTTGACGATATTTTTTGTTGGTTAAAAATGCACAGAAAACCTGAAAACTGAAGGAAACGAACGAAAAGCTCTGCCAACCCATCATTCTACATGCAGCGAAGAGATCCCTTGGAGTGAAAGTGAAATAGGCTTTATCGAACAATCGAGGATGCAGGGACCTCACTGCAGGTAGGAGCTTAACAGTTTTCCAGGCAGAAGGAGAGTGCTAAAGGTCAGACACGTGGATGTTCAAAAGGGAAGGAAGAATGTCACAGAGGAAGGAACGTAAATAATGTCCTGCATTTTTCTTGTATCTCAATTACAGCTGCGAGCTCTGCTTATTCATGTTGGGGCCCGGAGGAGGTGCTCACTCTGCACATATGCCATGCAGTGCCTGCGCCCCAGCCCGCCCACCCCAGGAGCACCTGTCTATGCCTTGACATCTGACCCCATCAGCTTACATGACACCAGATGCTCAGGAGATGCCTAAAAGTCCTCAGGTTGAATTTGCAACTCAGTTTTAAATGAGCTGTTTATCAACCACAGTTATCACATATTGGAACATTTGGGGATGCTGTTTACCTTAAGACACAAACCGCACACTCACCTCAGTACCACACACACACACACACACACACACACACACCACAAACACACACACCATAAACACCTCAGCACCACACACAGCATTCACATACAGCACAAACACAGCACACCACTCACAGATTCACAAGAACCATATGCCACGCAACACACACTTCTCTTTCCTTGTCCACCTCACACTCGTCCCTAAAAATGTGTTCTTGTTGCTTTCCCTTGTGCAAAACCTGTGAAAATAGATTCTCAACCCCCCAATCTCCCCACATTGCCAAAGCCCTCTGATGAAGTCTCTGACATAGAGGGCCCCTATCACTGACCGAATCTCAATGAATGAGTGGCATATAAGGGTAAGACTGACCTGATTCGGGGCAGAAAACTGCTTTCTTCCTCCCCTGTAAAGATTTTCCTCTCGGCTTTTAAGAAATACTGAATGCCTGGAATCACTAATTTTAGTCCTGTAAATCCTTCACCGAATCCTTTCACCTCCATTATGTCAATGTTAAAAATTAATCTTTAACTTCCCTTTCACCCTCACCTTGGATCTTCAGGGGAGGAGGTTGAGTGAGTCTTGAAACAATCCCAAGGCCAGTAATTCCATGACCACGATGGGCAGACACCCCCAGTCTTTTTCCCTGCTTGCCAGGAGCTCCAACCTACCCACTGAGTGCTTCCAGGACCTTTCTGCTGGCACTGAGAGCCTCCCTTTCCCTCCTCTCTCTCTCTCTTTCTCTCTCTCTCTCTCTCTCTCTCTCTCTCTCTCTCTCTCTCTCTCTCTCTCTCTCTCTCAGGTCACATCTATCTGCCACTCAAGCTACTCAGAGAGACACATATTTTTTTTTAGTGCATGTCCGCCCAGAGGTGCGACTTCCTTCCTGGCTTCCGCAGTGACTGACTGTAAGCTCTCTTGGTCCTGCCATCTTTCTTCAGCAATGCCTGTGAGCCTGTGAGCCTCGGAACTCTTCAAAGGTGACCTACGGATGGCATAGGCACATCTAAGCCTTTAAATCAGAGTCTGCACCATTGACAGAGTCTTACCTACTTAAGCATTTTTTTGTGTGTGTTGATTGTGCTTTTAAAGTTCCTAGTAAGTGCTTGGCACTGCCTAGATGTTCTATAAATTGAACCAGTTTTATTCTCTCCAAAGAAATGATGAAAACCTTCCGCTGTTTTTGCCCAACAGACTTGGATGTCTGTATCAGTTGGATTTTCCTTCTTCAGAGGTTCAGGTTTTGCTGACCTTCATTCTGGATTCTCCGGAATGTTTGTAGTTTGGCACCAGGCTGGCAATTCCTGGCATTTTCTGGGTCAAGGGCCCTTTTAGTGACTGAAAATCCCAGGTCAGCAGTTGTCCCCATTTGTGTTTTAAATAAACACTCCCCAACTGGCATCAACGTCGGGCTCTGGGCACTGATTATCCCGGAGGAAGCCAGCTTGCTGTTTGCTGCCCCCAAATGCACTTTGAAATCACTTCTGGATCCTACATCAGAATTCTGTGTGGTGTTTTTTTTAATTAAGTTTTTTCAATTTAACATTTCATTATGGAAGTTTTCAAGCATATAAAAAGTTAGAACAGTCTTATATAAAAACCTGTACCCATTAACCAGCTTCAACGGTTATCAATATTTAACCATTTGCGTTTCCATATACATAGCAGTTGTTTTCTGTAGTATTTTAAAGTAAATCTTAAAAAAATAAAAATAATAAAGTAAATCTCGGATACTGTGTCATTTCTTCTATAAAAAGCACAGCATGATACATAAATCCTCAGGCTGTCTCATGCTGCCAGGACTTTACAGTGGAAGAACTTGAAAAGAAAGTATTTTTCAAGAAAAAAATGATAAATTCTGGTATTTCTACTTCAAATTGAGTTACAGTTAGATTTTTTAGAACTTCCTTGATTTTATTCTCTTACATTTTTTCTCTTATCTTGAACACGTTGGTCCCTAATATATGTAATTACTTTTTTGCATTATTATACTATACCTATATTTACATTAAAATAACACTAATATTATTACCAAACGTAAATGTACTACCTCTCCTAGAAGCAGACCTTGAGATTAAGATTCCCGTAAAAGTGATTTAATACACAGTGTTGTCAGAAAAACAAAACGACAGGGACACGGGGATGTGGAGATGCGGGCAGGGAAAGGGAGGAGATCAAACCAGGGAGGGAAAACAGGCTAAGTCTGCAGGAAGGGAATTTGGGGTTAATTCTGCCAGGAGCGGTGGAAGCAGTGTCAGCCTCACCTTGGGCTCGTCCTAATCAATGCTGAAGCAGCTGGAGTGTTTACACAGCCGCATCCGCCAGCCGCGGACCCTGAGTTCCCAGGCACTGGTATCTCAGTACCAGCAAAGCAGGTTCCGGCAGCCCAGGGGCAGCTGTGCCAGCTGCAGACAAGGAAAGCACAAGCCAACATAAAAGGACCCCAGGAGAAATGGGCAGAACGCCGACCTTCAGGACCAGGGAGTCAGCGGGTGTGTCAGCCACTTCTGACAGGTTACGGAACCTGACGACCGAGAATGGCCTCATTTTATGCTCACTACGCTCCTATGATGCGGCGACTATGACTTGCCCCCATTGTATAGATGAGGAAATGCAGCCGCAGAGGCCGCCAGCGGGAGCGCAGGGCCCCCCCGTGCTGCCTGGAGTGGAGGCTTCTGTGGTCCAGGTGACTCCGTGAGGGCACCTTCGCTGCACCCACATGTGCCTGCCTGTGGGGCTTAAATGGCCTGGGAGAGAAGGGGAACACCTGTGTCCGCAGGCGGTCCTCACAGCTTCAGAAACAGAGGTGCCTTCAGATTAATCAAAGGGCCTTGCCCTCAACGCCACGCTGTTTCCTCTTTACATGGAGCCCAGGCCTTTGTAGTGGGGGTTAGGGGTGGGGGTAGAATTTGGAGGAAACTAGAAAATATACTGTAATTAGAGCAAGGAGCTCAGATATAGCTTTGTAAAAGTTTTCCAGGTTCAGGGGTGGGCCGTAATGTTCTATTTCAATCCAATTGATTAATAATTTTTCAGTTCCTGTCACCTCTGAAATCCCCATGTTGCCTTAGGATCCTAGAGGCCAAAGGCCCCGGAAGGGGAGGCCAGCAAACCAAAAGCTCACAGACGAGTAGGGTGATCACCTGCCAACAGAGGTTGCTGAAAGACCGACTCGCGGAGTCATTAAGAGGCTAAGCCTGGGGCTACAGGCCACTGTGTGCCCTCCAAAACCCTGGTTCTTGTGCCATCTGAATGAATTGTTCCAGTCGCATCTATCTGATTGAGTGGTGCCAGCGCCATGCTGGCTGTTAAATATTTCCAATGACTGTGTGTGAGAGCGTGTGTGAATTAATGAATACCCTGAAAACACAGCAGTTAACCCCTGGAAGAGGGCGCTGACAGCGTGAATCACGGACTTTGGAAACTGGAAGGTTATACGGAGGAATTCAATAAGTCAGAGTCCAGGAGACTTGGTTTTGAACTTGACATGACAGACAGGCCCTAAGGCGACCCCAAACATTGCTATGTCACGGTATTCACAAATCTGTGTGACCCTGCCCCTTGAGTGGGGGCAGGACCTAAGGACTGCTTCCAGCCAGCCAAAGTGATGAGATGTCACCCCCTGGTTACAGTACACTATAAGAGACTTCCTCTGAGCGAGCTGCAGCTAGACACTCTCCCTGTGGCCTTGATGGAGTAGGTGGAAAGTTGGAGAAGCTCACATCACAGGGAGCTGTGGGCCGCCCCTAGGACCTGACAGTGGCCTCCAGCCAAAATCCTGCCAAAAGCCAGAACACTTGCTTTGCTTTAGTGATGAGAATTATTAGAGAGCATAGAGCGTGCATACGAAACAGAATTAAGTTGATTTTTGTATTGTAGGGAGGATCTCCCAACTGTGCAGTAAATGAGGCCTTGCGTGGTCTCACCAGCACAGGCCATAGAATTCCACCAGGCTGAACGTAGGTCCAAACACCTCCACCTTCTACCTGTTTGCATAAGAGTATTCCAGGTGGGAAAGCGTGCATCATGGAAAATACGTGTGGAGGACTGCTGGCATTGGAATCGGTGGTATACATTGACTTGTGCTGAGTCCCAGGGTTCGATGCTCACATAGGATGAAGGTTTGCAGGTCTCCTGGATGCATAAGGTGATGACAAGCAAGGAAGATACAAGTCTGGGGAGAGAAGGGGTTATTGGGAAGCCAATAAGACATGGGGGAGAGGAAAGAGCTGCAGTGTTTAGGGGGAAAATGGCGATGCTGAAACCAGAGCCTAAGTAGGGAGGAGGCTGGCAGAGGCTGAGACCTCCTTCCCGCGATGACCCTGGAGCTGCCAAGCCAGCGCGGTGACAGTCAGAGCCAAATCACGTACTGGACAACAAATCAAACCAAAGTGGAGGAAAGTCCAGCCCCAGAGAAGGGCAAGTTCAGTAGGAAAGCCGCCAGGAGAGCCCATTCGACTCACAAGTCTGCCGGGGTGCCTTCCCGGCGCCAGGAGCCCTGGAGAACGGGGGACCTGAGCATGAATGACCCAGGTCCAGAGCCCTCGCCGTACAGTACGCTCAGGTGACTGCCCACTGAGACGCTGCTGTTGTGTTTACTTAGGGCCCTGGGTAAGCGGAGCACCTGGGGACCCACTGATGGTAGGAGAGAAACAGGGCCACCCGCAGGATGGGTGGGGCTGACCTCAGCCTGCCTCCATGGGCAGCACTCGCACACACCTGGACAGCATGCTCCGGTCAGTGTCTGCCTTGTGGTGTTTTGCAAGTGTTGAATTAATTAGTCTTATTAACCTTCATTTGAAGTCAAATGCTAGATAATAATCTTCTAACTTGTTAGCGGAGCCATTGGGATGAAAGTAAGGCTTAAGTTGGAATGAAATTTCTCCTCAATGGTGGGCTATTTCTTGACAAGTTCTCTTAAGACGCTGGGTATACCCAGAAGGTGCTGGCAACCTGCATGGAATCGAAAACCGCGAGCGGGCGACTTCCACAGCGGTGTCCGTTTCTGTCATCCTCAAATCCATCGCTGGCTTCAGTTTCTGAGAAGAACCAGTTCACATCTTCCAAGTTTTCCTGATCGTTAACATCCAACCAGACTGCCTGGGTTCTCAGTCCTACCACGTGCTATCTTTGTTGTCTCTGCTGCCCCTTTGCAAAATGGGGGTGATAATACTAGGTACTTCCCCACGGGGTTGTCGTGAAGAGTTAAACACACCACACAAGCCGGCTACTGCTGTGTCATTATTTTTATCCCTCATTCTTCTCCTCACCCAGGCTCTTTGGCCTCAAACAGACTTACTGTTTTTCTTTGTTTAGCGATGCTTATTAACTTCCAAGCTCGGCTCAGCCCATACATCGCTTTCTCAGTGAGGTCTCCCATGACACCCCTGTCCTCCCTCCTGCCTTTCAAACTCTTCTACATGTTCACACGCACACATGTGTACAAAACACAAGTGTACACTTTCCACAAAGTAAAAACACCCCTGTGACTCACACCCGAGGGAAGCAGCAAGATAGTACCAGCACCCCGTAGCCTGTGTGAAGTCCCCCTCCTGTCACTGCTTCCACCCTGCCCCAGGGGAACCCCTAACTTGATTTTTAATAGGATAGTTTTGTCGAGTATTAAAAACTCTGTTTAAACTTTTAAAAGGTCTTTGTCTCCTTCAAGCTGCCTTTGTGCAGCTGAGACCCACCCATGCCGCTCAGGTTATTCCCACGGCGGTGTGGATCGACCATAATCCACGTCCTCACGCTGCCGTTCACGCACAATTGGCTTGTTTCCTGTTGGGCTCTTACAAGCAGCGCTTCTCTGAATGCTGGTGCTTGTCCTTTTACGAATACACGTGTGCGTTTCTAAGTGAAATGCCTGTCGTTGCAATGTCTAAGTGAGCTTTAGGAGGTATTGCCGAGCAGATCCCCAAAGTCCTAATGCATGTTCACGTTCACAGCGCCGCCGGCGTCGGCCGGTTCCCACCTTGTTTCCTTCTGTCCGTCCATTCCATGTACGGTGCTTTGTCACCGTGCCTTTGGTTTTGAGTTCTCCGAGGTTGAATGAAGCAGAGCTCCTCGTCGTATGTCACAGACCGCTTAGAATTTCTCTTCTGTGAAGGCTCCATTCAAGTCATTGGCCCATTTTTCGATGGGGGTGTCTGCCTCTTTTTTTTCTTCTCCTGTATTTAATGTTCCCATCCATTATACTGCCCCCTTCTTTTTTCCTTCTTTTCATTTTCCATAAGCTCTCCTTTCTCTCTACATTGTAAGTTTCCAGGAGGCAGAGCCAGAGTGTTCTCACCTTAGCATCACCCACAGGACCTGACATTTCGTTCCCCTGAAAACCCCACTGATGTGGGTGGGAGACTCGCTGCATCAACTAAGTTGGCCCAGGGTTCCAGTCCCTGTGGTCCAGGTGTCTGAATATGGTGGGAACTTCTCCTCTAGAACAGTGGTGGGCAAGCCCAGAGTCACGTCTGTGTGTAGAGACAACCGAGGGGATGTCTGACGTGTTAGGGGCCAGAATGGATCCTGTCCGGGTTCATAGCAACTGTCTGGGACTCTTGGGGAAATAAAGAAACTATGAAGAAATTATCTTTTTCTACCCTGAAAAGGAGCTTCTCTGGGATGTGTTATGCTTTCTCCCATCCGTGATGCCATCAATATTCTTCTCCCCCATATACACTGTCGTTTCATTTGCAGGCACCTCCGTTACCTCCCTTCAATTTCCAGTATATGGTCCAAACTACCTCATTGTCCCGTTTGGAGGTGCCCACATCACCTCCCCTCACATCCCTTCTCCTCACCGTGCAGGCGTTCCAATCCTGTCTCCTCTCCCCGCTGATTTCTAGTTAACCTCATTCATTCCATCCTCTCCTGGTCATTTCCTGGCCATTAATCTCCCGGAATTTAGCTAGAATCAGTAAATATCGATTTTGCCTGATGGAGAGAACCCTCATCTAAATCATTTGGAAATGCTCTATTCAATGTTAGCATGTGAGCTTTAATAGAATTTCACTACATAAATAAACATTCAAATTTCACAATGTATAAAAACAATAAAAATGTTCATTGTGTGGATTACAGCTCTGCGATTCTGTTCTGTGCTGAGCTCTCTAACACAGGGCTATAGTTCCCAGCAGATTGTCCCTGTGCTTCTAACCACCCCCTTGAAGGTACTTATCAGTGATGATTCTCACATAGATTTTTATTCACCCAGGACTTTCCCAAGGGGAAAATTCAAAGGCAATGGGAATTGGTGTTTCACGCGTGTCCAGCAGTGTCACCCCTGGCTGTGTGTTAGAAACCCTGGGACGCGTCAGAACACCGGTGGTGTCTGGGTGGCCCCCCAGACCAGTTCATTCAGAATTCCTGGGGTGGGGCCCATGCCTCTGTGTGCTGTAGAGACTTCTCAGGAAAATTTAACACCCAGCTGTAGTTGAGAACTGCTGGGCCTATGATGAAGAACATGAAGAAAGAACAACAGCAAGTAAAAAAATGCTGAAAAGTTAGTGGTCAGGCCTACGTGTAAGTCTACAGCTCTGCGTCCTCAGAGGCGGGTGAGGGTCCGCTCTTTGGCCCAGTCCTGGATTTCAGCTTGCCCAAACGTGAGGTAAAAAACCAAGCCGAACATGTTGACAGCAGCTGACAGGAAAAAGACGTTCCTCCAGCCAGACACAGAATCCTGTAAGTAAACAACAGTCTCACAAGCTCCTTCTCCACCATGTCCTAGAAATCGCCCATTTCATGTGTTGCAGAGAATATTGGGAACAATAGGCAATAGCCACTTATCAAAGACGGTGTTAAGAAACTGTTGGAAACAAAATGAGTCTAAGATGAACACTGGGTTCTGGGGTGGGATGGATTTTTCTCTAAACCAAAATAAATTAACCTACACTAATCTCTTTTGGAAATTTGGATTTCAACATTCATGAAAATATCACATCACTCATTTAAAATTAGGCCTCAAATGACGTCTTTGAGATGTCATCCTATTTCTCTCTGTCTTGCTTTGTTTCAGGCTGTTGATGTCCCCCACAACAGCCAATGAGACGGACATCACACGGTGACATCAGGTGGTGACGGGTCTGTCTCTACAACCTCCCCAGAAGCCCTTGCTAGTCAGACTTCATCTCCGCCAGTATAGTCACAGTGAATTCCTAGCAACTGGGTCAACAACCCAGAAACCAGATCACATAAAGACATATTGAAAACGAAATGAAAATGTTGTTGTAAGTTGCCTCTCTTGGTCTGTCTGTCCCAGCCTGGTCCTTTCTGCCTTCCCATCTGCTCTACCAGCCCCCGCTCACACTGAGAAGCCCCCCGACCACGCGCCCTGCTTTGTCTCAGCCATCCTCTTTCCACTGTGATTTGGCCTTTCTTTAAACTGGACTTGGGACGCTTGTGTTTCCGTTCTGTGATTTTTTTTCAAGTTGGAGTGAATCTGAACAGACTGTCATAACCTCCCCCTTCTGCTCCTGCCTTCACCTCTTACCTTGACATGCATCATTCGCTCTGTTGAGGCTAAGGACTGCTCCATGCTTTTGTGCCTCTGGGACGTCATCCATGCTGAACTGCTCATTTTCATCAATCTAACTTTACTCATCTTTAGACATTTAGTACATGTGTGTCCCCAGGACTTGACCTACCAGAGTCTGATTCAGAGTAGTTGTGTCTGCCTGTCAGACCACATGGTCCTTGGGTGCACAGGTCCTGCTGTGTGTCCCCATGCCCGAAACAATACCTGCCACATGCCGACAATGAATGGCCCACCTGACTGATGAGGAACCCGGTGGCCGTGGAGGAGATGATGCCAGCCATGAGCCCGAACCCCCGGGACAGCCCCATGAGGAAGCTTGCGTATCTGTGGGGAGATGATTGCATAGGCGGTGTTATCTAGAAAGCTGCTTTTTCACCTAGACAGCTTTTCAGAGCAGTCTTTTCTTATATGGAAAGATGGCTTTTCAGCAGCTCAACTTTAATGCAATTCAGCTCCAAAGGCAAAGTCATTTTGCCTCATCCAGGTTTTCATTCACCTGAAGACATTCAGGGCAATGTCTGCTTGGCAACCCTGAAATCACCCGTCACCAAGGCAACCACCAGGGAACAAGTCAGGTTCCTGCCCGGGGGCTCCGCACGGGCAGGTGTGTGGATAGGACACCAGACCCAGGACAGACTGCCCAGGTTTAAGTCCTGCCTTTGCCTTTGAGTGATGGTAGACAGGCCACTTGAACTTCTGGCCTCAGGCTGCTCTGTAGAGTGAGGCTAACGAGAGTACCCACCTATGCAGCTGTGAGGGGCGGATGGGTGGACATATAAAAAATTCTTCATGTAGGGTTTGGCTCAGGGCATGTGCGTGCATATGTGACAATATCACCAACAGTCTGGGAGCTTTCCCCAAACACATCCATGTGGACCCTTTCCCAGAGCACAGGTCAGTCTCAGGGGTTGGGGGGCTGTTGCTCTAAAACACCTTCAGTCATAGCCACGTGGTGAAATTTCTCATGACTTGTCGCTATTCTGCCATCATTGATCATATGTCAACAACATGAAGGAGTTGTTTAAGAAGACTAAGGCCTGGCACTTTGGAGGGGCTGGGGAGGAGACAGCTCTTACCTAGGGGCAACATCTAAGGTGTTGATGATGAACCCCGAGTCACACAGGTTGCTTGTCCCAGGAATAAGTATCAGCAGGATAATGGTGGTCACGTAACTGGAAGCCACGAAGGGCAGGGCCACAGCACAGAGCGACGGGAGAAGCAGCCCTGGCGAGGAGGACCGCCATCAGGCACCCTCTCAGACCACATGTGACAAAAGGGGATTGGCTAACCCAGCCCACATGCCCATCCTTACCTAGGGACGAAAAAATTTTCCGAACGGTGATCAGTCGGAGAAGATTCCTGGACAGGAGGAAATCTGCCAGCTGACCTCCTAGAATTGTACAACTTGAGGCAGCAACAAAAGGCAGGGAGGACAGAAGCCCACTCTGAGGGAGGGAACAGGGACGGTGAGGACAGAGGTACAAGGGCAGGGAGGCCACACAGGTGCCACCAGCCCATCCCCCTGCCATGCGGATAGTTCTAAGGGAATCAGCACCCTTCTCCACATGAGAGGGACCCTGTCTCAGGGAAGAGGGTTAGTGCTTGCATTACATGATCTCCAGAGAAAAGTGACATTAATTTCTAAGGGACATGGAGGAATCAGCTGGTGTGGCATGTGGCACAGCCGTTCAGAACACGTACTGTGGCGGTTCCATCACTCAGGGATTGTGTAACCCAGGCCAAGTCACCTCACCTCCCTGTGTCCTGTCTCCACACCTGTGCAGTGGGAATCATTCCAGTGGCTCCGTCAAGGTCGTCGCGAGGGTGAAATGGTTGTGGGCACAGCCAGAAGGCAGTGGGCAGCGCAGGACTATTTACCTCCCTTCATTGTCACTGTCATTTGCATAGAAGTGTCAGAAGTATACTCACATCTCTGATGCTAACATGGAGCACGGAACTGACGTACGTCGGCAGGTACGTTATGATGATGGTGCATAACCAGAAATGGCTGAAAAAGCCCGTGAAAATGGCCCAGAGTGGCAGACATCTGGCCATAGCCTTAATGGGGACAGATCGTCTAGGAGATGTGGGCTGAAAGGAAACATCTCATCTGCATGGGTATCGGCACAGGCCAGAGGGCGCCTCCTCCGGGCACCCACAGCCTGTCCTGAGATCTCCGCATGCACGGTCACAGGTGGCGGGGTGAACGGTACCTGCTGAGCCAGCGAGGACACAATGTGCTCCTTTTCCCTGACACTTATGCATGGGTGATGCCTGGGGTCGTCATAAATCATGGTGAACCACAGCAGACAGCAGACACAGCCAATACCACCTGGGAAGTCGGGACCCAGTCAGTTTTCAGGTCGATTTGTGAGCTGGGGGCAGAGTTTTCTCTGACATGGCATGCCTCCCCGCAGTTTACGGCTACCTCACCACAAGGACCTAAATTTTCCCACTTCTGTTTTTTTATTCCTCTACAAATGTCCTTTTAACTAAAGCTGTCCAGATACCACCTCTCACATGAAGACTGCCATTTGTCAGTATCAAGCCCTCTGGAGATAACATGAGCGTGGATGTGCCAGCACACTGCTAATTACTCTTAGAACTCCAGTGGCTCCCATGTGATGTCATTAGCAGCACTTTCTTACTATACACATTATTGTCTTATTTTGCAAATATCTGAGGAGTCGGAACTGAAGAAAAGCGTAGTCATACATGTGTGAAACAACCTGCCATAATATCAGTGTGGCAAGGGAAATTTTTCCAATACATTTACAAAGGACACTGTTATTTGTATTCAAACAGCACACCGTGATGGATTTCCAGAAGAAATATGTCTCGGCAGCACTTGATTTACATATGTGGACAAAAACAACCTGGGGTTAGCATCGTTCCCGAGAAAGCCATCCAAGCCAGAACCTTATTGAATGACACCATTTGGTTATCACAGTAGAACAGAAACTTGTCTCATTGCTGAGATGTCTCATCTGAAGAAGGTTCTGTGTTAAAAGATTCCGGGGACTAATGTTCTTTAAATTCCCTCTAATTACTGGGTTCGTCCCTTCTTTTATTTATACAGCTATAGCCAGGAACTATGATAGGATAGCATATGATAGTATAGACTCCATACCTCAAAAATTTCATAGTCTAGTGGAGATGGAGAAAATAAATAATCACACACCAGCCAGCCGAGAGAATAAATAAATACCAGTAGCACCTTAGGGGACAGGGAGACTGAATCTGATGGCATAAGTCCTAGAGGTCCCCAGAGGGAAAGGTACCTTTATATTGAGCTTTACACATTTCACCTGATAGAGGATAGGTTAAGGGCATCTTGGCAGAAATAATAATTATAATGCAATATGAAGACACACCTAAAGTGCTTCAAGTGCACTTCACCAAGTTTGATATCTTAACCAACCACACGCAGAAGGTGACCTGGCATTTCAGAGGTGGTGGCAGAGACCCCACAGAAGGTAGAGGGTAAATCCACCTTCCTGACCTCTCAGAGGTCGGCGACGTGCACAGTTGACCCCAGACTAGAATAAGAAAACCCCAACCCTCACTATCCTTTGTCATCTTCCATTTAACGAAGGGCCTTTCCTGTCGTGTGGGAAGCATGTGGATGAGTGCCTGGGAAACGCAGGCATCAGAATTAAGAGAAAGTGACTCACCGAAGATGTAGAAGATGAAAGGCCAGCCCAAGGCCTGGGAGATGAGTCCCCCCACACAGAGGATGATGAAGGACCCAAACGCTGCCCCTGAAGAGAAGAGGGAGGAAAAACATTCATGATGACCGCAAAGTGAGACCGGTGACCACCCTGGACATTGTCCCTTTTGTGAGGTTAGGATGTGAGGCTTAGGATGACTGGATGACGAGTCTTCTTTCTTGCTCCCAGACCTCCCCCAATAAACCATGTGAGGCCTTTAGAACTAATAATATTGATTGGCCTCCCGACACATTAATGGCTCCTAACACCGCATGACCAAATCAATGTCCCTTAGTTTGTCACAGAAACTCTGCAACCACAGCACCCCTGAATTTCCTTATAATCAGGGCTACATTCTGGCTGGGTATGACAGGAGGTTGGGGGCCAGAGAAGGAAAGATTTTCAAAACTTAATAACAAACAATCCCTGCTCTCAAGGAACTCTCAGTCAAGTTGGGGAGAAAAGCGTGAACAAAATTATCACAAGTATATCACAAGTGTAGTACAACGTAGATTCTGGAGTCTGAACAATAAGAAATGCATTTTATATGGCAACACACACACACACACACACACACACACACACAAACACCCCTCAAACAAGTTTCAAGACTCAGTACTTAGCCTTACCATGCGCACTACGCTCCAGCATTTTCTATTCTATTCTATTGGGTTGTCGGGAAAGTCATGACGCATTTTTGCATTGTCTTCTATGCAAAAATGCGTTATGACTTTCCCGACAACCCAATATTTACTTTTATTTTTAAATACTGATTTTGACCCACGTAATTGATTTTACGACCCGCCTCCAATGGGTCCCAATTTGGAAAAAAGAAGAATGCAGAATATAAATATGATAATAAAACCACAACGAGCGATGAAAGAACACATGAGGGGAAATGAAAACGCATGGTACATTTAGGAGCTGTTTACATGAGCCAAGCAGTAGGATGGTTGGCATTTTGGTAAAAGGAGCTGGAGCTTTGGTAAAAGCAGAGGACTTTCCAGGAAAGTGAGCCAGTGGAAGTGAGGCCAGGGAGGAGTGAGTATGGTGTGTGAGGAGGGGCCTGAGCCTGCTTACAGAGGGGTGTTGGGTGGAAAAATGGCTGCGAGCATGGGGGCTGGGGGATAGCTTTGTATCCAGGCAGCGAGGAGGCCAATTTCATGTGCATCACTGAAGAACACAGTGAAGGACCCCGAGCAGGTGAGCAGACACGCCCAGGTGTGCTTTAGGGAGATCACGCGGCTTTGATGGAGAGAGAAGGTTGGGAGAAAACGAGGCTGGAGGAGAGAGAAGACTTGTGGGGAGCATTTGCAGATTGAGGAGATGGTGACAGCGGCAGAGGAAGGAGGGTTGCTGGGGAGTAAACATGGGCGGGTACTTGGGACCCTGGTGCGAGGGTCTTGAGGGAACCTCAGCTCTATGGATCCGGTGTGCACCCTCAGGGCCACCCGCGGGCAGACCGCAGTGACGAAGCTGTCACGTTCTCAAAGCCAGCACACGGTGGGGAGGCAGTCCCGCAACCGATGGGGTGCTCTGGGGCCCAGCCACCTGGCTCAAGTCCCTGTTCTACCACCTGACAGTGATTTGTATTGGGGCATTTTACTTAATCTCTGCATACGCTAATTCCCTCCTTTGTAAAATGAAAGTTAAAAATCGTAGTTATATCAGAAGGTCGTAAGGATCAGCTCAGAACACTGAAGAGCTCAGAGTGATGTGAGCCCTTTAAATTCTTCTTTCTGGCCTCACTTCCCCCTTAGCACCCTGAATTCTGATAGTCTCAATTCTCACTTCTATATCTTAGCTAAATTGGTGTGTGTGCAGGGTACTTGGATCTGTTTCCACTTACACCAATTCTCAAAGTTCTACCCGTTTTCCTGTTATGCTTTTCTCACTACCTCAGAGAAAGACAACAAGTGGTCTTTTCCACTTCCAAGCCTCAGTGGCTTTCCAGCACAGATGCATCTCTTCTTTATGATGTAACCATTTTACGTTGTTGAATTTTGGGGAGGCACTTTAATCCCCCTCCCCCAAACCACCCTCAGCATAGCGAGAAAGATGCGGCCAGGCAGGGCGCGGCAGATGCCAGAGCTGTGACCCACGCGTGCACCCTTACCTGACCCCGCGATGCTGGTGAGCTTGCTTCGTTCCAGCGGGGGAGCCCATTTGGCCCAAATTGTAAACTGACCTGTCCACGCCATTCCCTAAAATGGAAATCATCGAGACCTTTGACCTCTAGACAGTCCGTGAATCTGTATCCCACGGAGGTAAGGAGGCATCTGGATACCTGGGCCACACCCTGGAGTGTCCGGATCACAACAAGCAGGGTCACTCCGAGGTCAGCAGCCAGGGGTGTGCAGAGCGTGAGGAGAGAGGAGGTGAGCAGACCGGCCCCCAGCATCTGCTTTGCGCCGAATATGTCCGCTAAATACCCGCTGGGGATCAGAGTCAGTATGATCCCGTAGCTGATGGAGCTGAATATGATGCCCTGGGTCTCTGGGCTCCACGCGTATACAGAGGTCTGGGGGAAAAACACAGGGAACACTTTATGAAAGTCGGCTTCACAGCCAGAACTGCTCGGGGTTGCCGGCGCCCGGCCCCTAAGCATCAAATTTGGTTTTTCTCTATTTCTTATCTAACTTAGGTATTCCACCTTTTCCAAACAAACAACCAAGTACACCCCGAACTTCCTCCTCTCAGGAGAAGCAAAAACAGAGCACATGAAGAAGGAGAGAGGTAAAGAAATGATTGCACAAATGAAGGGTCGAAAGATGTAAATGAGAGGCTGAGAGGAGTTTCATCTGGGAAAGAGCTACCTCGAACAAGTTTGCTTCTGTTAAAGGTAGGTGACAGGTTGACTCTCATTTCAAAGAGTGAAGCCGATCCAGCTTTACTGCGCCCTCATCTAAACAGCCCCTAACGGAGATTAGGGACCGCAGCCTGCCGTCTACACCGCGTCCTGCACATAATAACGTCACAGACTTCTCTGATGAAATCCAGTAAATGTTTCATAGCCCCTAGACATGGGGCATCACGCTACACATTGAAGCGGAGTGCCAAAATATATAACATGTGAATCGTTTTATCCCCTTAAAATAACTATAAATAATGCAAGACACACGATTCATATCAGAATCCAAGTGTGAGGATGAACCTCAGTAAAACAGGGACAGCTGGGAAGGTCCCAGGAGGGAAGCAGTACTCGAGCCATCCTTTGAAACATGACTCTGACTTGTACAAAGAGAAGTTGGAGAGTTTATTCTGGTGGAAGAAACAGCAGAAGTGGACACGCAGCTCGTAGAAAGCTGCCGCAGGGTTGGGAACTGGCCGGGCCTCGGCTGTGCTCGGAGTAGAGGCCCTGGGTGCTGACAGCAGGCGGGCGTGTGCAGAAAACGCGGGGCAAGACTGGAGCCTGGCACCTCTACGGCATCACGGATCCTTAGCACAGAAATGTCAGTGTGTAGAATGAATGACGGGAGAAAGACTGAGGCTGAGAAGCCATTATAAAGCCAGCTGGGTCCAAGGTGATAAAACCAGGAAATGTGAGGGTGACCTTAGAAATGCCCAGTGAATGACAGATTTGAGGGAAAATTTTTAAACAGAGCATAATCATGATTCTCATGCAAATGTAAAATGAACGTGTGATAAAGCGTTTTTCTTCACTCATTGATTAATGAGAGAGTTGCTAAGAAGTTACCGCTTGTCTAAAGCACCACATCTGCACATATCAGCAGGGATTGATGCTGAAATCGATTTTAAATACATGGCAAGGCTGGCTTATTTGACTGGGAGGCAAGTATCAGTTGATTTTCCATAGGACACAATTCACTTGCAGAGTGAGGGGCCGTGCTGTTTGTCACGCAGAACATGCAGAGTTGTCAAATGGCTCTCCAGCACAATGGCAGGTGCAGAGACCTGCGGGGTCCGGAAAAAGGGCGCACTGAGGCAGCCCTAGCTTTGCACGGAAGTCGCCCAGTCATCTGTTCCTTTTTAGCAGTTTTCACAATCTTTCCCTCTACCCCCCCCCCACCTTGTAATGATAATAATCTCAACGAAAGATTATTATCACAGAGGTAAGCCATATCGCAAAGAAAAATAACCCCAGTCCTTTGGAGTTTGTCCCTGAAACCTCGTGCTTCTGGACGCCACAGAAAGAAGACCCAATTCTTCCCGTGGAACTGGAGTTTCCATCCCAGCAACGTACCGCCTTCTCCACCCGCATCCACTCACCCCTGCGTTGAACCCCTGGATGGGTCTGCCCGGGTCCTCGAGGGCATCTACCACAGGTTCCCCTGCGGAGCCGTTGGACAGAGCAGGCTGCCGGGTACCATTCACCATGGCGATGACCGCGATGCTGAGACTCACACGCTGGGTTACCAGGGTGAAGTTTGAGAAGTGCATGATGAAAGCCAGCCCGTAGCGCAGGGAGCAGAAACCCCGACCTGGCAGATGACAAAGGAGCACCTCTGAGCAGCCGACTGAGAGTCCCGTCCACTTCCCCCAAGGTTAAATCTGAACAAACCTCGGTGAGCCTCACACAGTCCCGCTGTGTTTTGTCACCAGAATAACCACGACTACAACCCTCCTTTGTCATATTCGT